TGTTGTTGTTGTTGTCTTAAGTTTGTTTTCCACATAAATTCGTGTACGCGTTATGACCTACGTGCGTTCGCCTGAGTTTCCAAAAAAGTGGCTCACACGGATTTGGAGTTTGTGGTTCGTCGAATTTTTAATTACAGCATTAGCTGCTTTTTTTTTTTAAACAGACAACTAAAAGAATCCACATGAGTCTTTTTTGCTAGACGAACAAGATAATTATATTAGGTCTAGATAGTTTTTACACAAATTTTCTAGTTAACTGTAAGAGATTTTTAAAACGGAATATATATAAAAATAAATAAATAAAATCGTTTAAAGGACGTTCATTTCCAAAGATGGAATCTTGAATCAATCCCACTACAACTGGAACCGCTTACCCAGGCCATTTAAATGATTCAAACTTATATAACGCATTTATTTTTAGCTGTTTTTTTTTCACGCTCTATAATTCATTTATTATTTTTACTTTATGTAAATGTACAATTTTTGTTTTGCGGCCACTTTCAGTATATTTATTTATTGCACATTTTTTGCGTTGAGAATTTATGCGGCTCACGCAATTTTCTTTATTTCGCGATTTCGTTATAATTTTGCAATCAATTTTGTTGTTATTGTATTGAGTTATATTTTTATTTACACAATATTTTTTTTTTTTGTTTCTTTTTTGTGGCAAGTAAAATTTGCACTGATTGAAATTAAATATTTGGCAATCGGCTCGTGAATTTAGCGAACACTCGCATATGGATCAATATATTTGATTAACGCTAAATTTGCGCTGATCGATAGATTTGATTGAAAACACACTTATAAAGACAAGTTCCCATTTTGCTGTTGCTGTTGTTGACCGATCAAAGTGCTAATCGATAAAAATTTACTAACTTGTTGCGTTCGAGACCCAATAAACGATTTACACTTTTGGTACTGGTGAGAGTCTGCGCAAGTCGCGATCATATAGTATAATATACTTAATAACTGTCGCTATCCTTACGTGGGCGATCAGACTTGAAACACGGATGCTTATTAACGGGCTAACGAGCGGCGCGCTACTAAAACGAAGTTTCCTAATTACACGCCCTTTTGTAGTCGCAGTTCATCAAGTCGAACTTAAGTTGTAGTTGTGCTTAAAATTGTGTTTAGCTCATAAATTGTTTAAATATTTAACAATTGGTTGCAAACGGACATAGAAACAATGCGTTTTCGCGTCGCAAACACAGCGCACCCCGTTGACATATTATTGATAAGATTATTCAGGTAAGGCACAAGAATCTACATTGGAATTACCAGCCAGTGCCTCAAATGCGTCACAATGCCGCTAAATGAGACTTCACCTGGGCGTGTACTTGGCTTTGGGTTGGGGTAGCTAGCCAGCCCTCACATAATTGGAATTTGCTGGAATTACCCTGATGACAGAGGCATCAACTATGCCCTAAGCCCTTCAAAAACAAAAAGCATTGAATTCGCTGCTACCTGAGTTCGTTGTCTAAGTCTTTTGTTTTGCGCCTGCGACCATGGGCATCAAGACTTGTTTTATGCTGAGAGAAGCAGGCATATGAAATGTGATCTAAACTCTGCTTATTCCCAGTGTCATAGCACCACTTTTTCAAAACTCTAATAATAAAAGACTTTTAAGAACTTCCTAATACCCTTTAATAATGTGCAACATTGGTCTTTCGAAAATTTCAAATCAATCTATATTAGACTATGTTATAATCTTTGTTTTATAAAGCTCTTTAGCTTCGGCTAGAAAGTGCGTAAAATAACAAAATTCACTAAAAACTGCCTAATATGCATTAAATTAATCTAAATGTCCGTATTGCCCTTAATAAATGTTCTATAAGACCTCCATATATGCGATTTGGTAACCAAAGTGTGTACATGATTTGGCAGCAGAGTTCAGGCAAGACGATAAAGCTTTGCTTATTTTGTTTTACCTCTTTATTTGTTATTGCTTTTTAGTTTTACTTTTTGTGTGGGCTATAGAAAAATCGTGCATTTTATTTATATCATCTGGCAGACAAACCGTCTCGAGCATCGTCTCCAAACAGTTCCAAGCACGCATTTTTGTTGAGTTTTATTTTGATTTCATTTTTTTGGGCATTTCGTAGCCGCAGGGTTCAATGCCAAAAATGCCAAGCTCTGGTGGTGTTCATTTATTTATTTATTTTTTATTTTTTTTTGTTTTTCAATTATGTTTGTCTTGTTCTTTTTTTGGGTCCCCTTTTATTTTTGGCATGCGACCTGCACGAGCCTTTTGCCAGCGCTTAAAACCAAATTGTTGGCAATCTTTTCGGGGGCATCTTTATTGGTTGTGCGCTGCTGTGTGTGCGTGCTGTGTGTATCCTGCAAATGATTTCATCGTCTCTTGACGTGCTTATGTGGACCTTAATTGTTTTTATTTGAGTGCCATTATGTGCAGGCACTTGGAGCAGCCGGCAGCGACGGGTTTTTTTTTGTTATTTGTTTTTTTTTTTTCTGCCTTAAGTGCTTATGCTGCCTCGATTCGTTTATGATCGTTATGATGTCATGCCAAAGCGAATTCTTCTTCATTTCTTTTTTATGCTTTTTGTGCGGGCTCGGGCCATATTTGAACTGCGTTGTTCTACTTTTCTTATGTGCCTAGACTTTGCGGTTAGACAAGCGTATATTTGCTTTAACAATTTGTCAAAAAATGCGTCATTGTCGTTGCGGCCTTTTGTAAATATTAAACAAAACAAAAAATAAAGTAAAAAATAAAAAAAACGAGAAATAAATAAAATACAAATAAAAACGTCCCCAGACCAAACTGGAAATTTTCGCTGTTATTCAATAACTTGAAGCCGTACGCTCCCCCCCACAAATCGTTTTCCAATACAATCCATAACCAAACATTGTTTTAAGCTATTTGCTGTTGATGTTTTTTATTGTCATTTGTTTGGTTTTTGGTCGCCATTTGGAGTTACATTTGTCAAACAATTGCTGACGCCGCTTAAAGTGTCAGCGCCAGCGCAGAAAACAAACCCCAAAAAACCGACAATGTCAAGTGCCTTGCAATACCATGTAGATATGGAAAATATGCCATAATGCGAACACCTCACAGTTATTATATGGCAAAAAGTGCTCGGTAAAAAACAGTTACAAATTAACACATCTATTTATAATCTTTCAGGTGTAATTTCGATTTTTACTGCAAAATGTGCAACGTTTTTGTTCATGATCTACATATCATCTTTTTAGTCATTTTTTGCTGATAGTATAGAAACTTAAAAAAAATCCAGGAAAAACGCATAAAGCAAAGCTCTTATTTTATTATAGACTCTACTCGATTTGTTTGAAATCAACTTTAACGAAACGCTCGAACTTATCATTCTTTGAGGTTTATGAACACTTGACAATTCAATAGTAGATTTCTCTCGATTACAGGTTGTCTATTAATTCTATCAAGTTTTGCTAATAGTTTTTGTTAAATATGCAAATCTCTGTTTAATTACATTTCGTTGTGTAAAGCCGTTTTAATATTTCTCTGGCAAGTCTTATAAATAATTGAACTGTCAGTGCCCTGTAGCAACAAGCTTAAAGTTATCGATGGCACTTCACAATATATTTTCCTTTTACAATATCTTTCTTATAACTTCGTTTCCTTATGAAGCATATACGTCTCCTCCTCTTCCCTACTAGCACCTTAAGCTATCGATAACACTCTAAAACTCGTATCTTATAATATTGTAGATGACTTAAAGTATTCGTGAGCATTTGAATTAACTGGATCGTTGTTATATCAGGCACCTGCTCTATCGCAAGCTGTCAGCATTAAACAATCGTAGTTATGCAACAGTAAAAATCAGACTTGATAAATTCTAAGAGCTATCATCAGAGAACTCTGAAAGCTGACTGTAAGATAAGCTAGCTGGCCATGTGCAGCTGGCAACTGATCGCAATGCGAGCATAAATATTTACGAGTACAAATTGCAATGCTTGGAATACCTGAACACTGGTTAAAGCGGCTTCAACAAGGTGTTAAAATCGCAAAGGCCGTCACAGCCACAGTCCACAGTCCGAATCACGTTTTAAGATCGAGGTGAATTCTTAACACCGCCGCTTGCCCAGCCAAATGGCACGTTTTCAATGGGCTGGCAGCAGCCCCAAGCCCTCAGCCAGCTTCATCTGCAATTGCGACGACTTTCTTTCTGGCCCAACGAACTCGACTAACACACACCCAAAGATGATGGCAACAACACAAAAATAAAATTAAAACGAAAACCTGCAAAAACTAACAACTTCTTCTTGGCGCATTCAAATGTCATGACATTTGAGCTCGGCTAATGCCAATTTTTGGCTTTTTTATGAGACTTAGACCAGCGCACGTACATATATATCTTCTTTCTGATATTCCAATCAATTTGATTGATAAATAATTGGGCAATGAGTGCACAAAAAATCATTTGATTTTGAAGAAAGTTTCTAAGATAGATTGAAAAAAACCATTCAATAAAACCGAAACAATAAATATTTAGAGCGGAAATCTGTTCAAGTTACAAAAACAGTTTCAAAGCAGATTGCAAACTGGTTCGAGCCAGAAATTTTAAATAATTTATTAACAATGAACCAGTAAACTTTGTTAACTTATAAAAAATTTAAAAAAAATGTAAATATCTAAGAATATAAACACATATTATTATGCTCCCTATTTAGCATAATTTTCCACAAAGCATTTGGTTTTCTGTAAAAATTTTTTTTGGCTAATTTTTATTGGCATAAAAATACGGCTAGAAAGTATTGATAATGTTTTGGGAATGGCATAAAAATATAAAAAAAAAATATTTAATTCAGTCTAGAAAATTCTATTGACAGGTAATTATGATATTGATTGTTGACTTTGAGTAGCTGTTCCGCTTTAGCATAGTCTCTGACTGAGCACTAGATAACAACCTGTTTGAGGCCGCGTTAATGTTGATTAGCATATTGGGTAGCCGGAAACTTAAAGTTTGAGCATAATTCATTTGATTACCTTTTTATATAACTTGCAGAGCCCAAAACCCTGGTGACCGTTGGACAGCCCTCAATTATTGACGATAACGAAACGCTTGACGAGATCAACTTGAATGCCAGCAGCAGCGACGACTCAGCGACAGCGAACGCATCCATCAATCCCTATCAGAGCAGCGCGGACGCGAATGCAAATCCGTTGCTAGAGCCGCCACTTGCTGCAGATTCATTGCTTAGCCAGGCGGCGTCTTCATTTGGAGCGCTGCCCTCGGTGGCATCTAACGTATTTGCTACGTTCTCGAAACGCATATACGCGGGCGCTCGGGAGACGGACGAGGCGACCCCTACACAGCCTCAACTGGACATACAACCAACTTATATACAACAAGCGAATCAGCAGCCACCGGCAGCTGTTGCACCTGCTCCATTTTACGCCGCACCACCGGCTCTTTTCGGTGAAGCTGCACCAGAACCGCCAAAATTCTATGCGCCCACAGAGGTGTCCAGCTTAGGAGCTAGCAGCTTGCCCGTGCCGCCCACATCAGGTGGACAGAATACATATCGCATTAGCGCCAGAAAGAAGCTATACGCGCCCATACCAGGGCTCTCCGAACAGCAACAGCAGCCAGTGCCAGCTGCTACGCCCCTCCAAACACCACCATATTCGCCACAGCCACCGGCGGACGCATTTAATCCGGCTGCACCACCCGTTCAAGAGGAACGCAAGTCAGTTGGTGGTCTTTTTTCGCTCACCAGTCTGGTGCCTACTGGCGTACTACAGAATATCTCGGGTCTCGTGCAATCGGCCACAGGCAGAACCAACGAGCCATCACCAGCTGTCAGCTATCCTGCGAATTCCGGTGGCTACTTTGACATTAGCACAGCCCCCGCGTCTGTCCCGCAGCCATCAACAAACTTTTTTACGCCAGCCTCAGCAGCGCCGACCTCTGCTACTGGTTATTTTGCACCTACTGAAGCCCCACCCCAAGTTGGAGGTTTCTTTAATCCTTCCATAGTTGCTGCAATCCCAGAGTCCGCCACACCGCCCACAGCTGGTGGTTTCTTTACGCCAGCCACAGCTGCCCAGCCACCAGCCGTTGCCCAACCAACGCCGGTATCCCTGCCCCAGACAGTCGCTCATCCACCGACGGTCGCTGTGCCACCGGCTTTAGTCGAGAGCACTCCGGCATTTGGATCAGCATCAGCGGTAGCAGGACCTCCACCAGCTGCCGGGCCTACACAGTCCTCGTATCGCCTGCAGAAGGGTACGCGACTCTACAAGAGTCCATTGACAGCACAGGAAACTGCGGCACCGACAGCATTCGCTGGTCAGCAGACAGCATTTACGGGCGGGCCATTTGCAAACCCAGCAGCACCCGCGGCCATATTTACTCCTTTTGCTGGAGCACAGTCAGCAGAAGCTGCTCTATATGCACCTCCACCTCCAATTTTCGCACCAGTAAGCCGGGAAGCTCCTCTGTTTGCGGCTGCAGCAGCAACCCCAACGGCGCCACCAGCTTCGCTCTTTACTCCACAAACAAACACAGGAACGGAACTCTTTCAGCCAGCGCAAGCTGAGGAAGCATCGGCACCAGCTGCTTCATATTTTACACCTGTGTCAGGAACATCCGATTCAGACCAGAAAGTCAATCTCTTTCCCAGATCGGCAGCTTCACAAGAACTCTCTTTATCACAAGCAAATACAACCAGCACCCACTTGACGCCGCATACACAGGTTACAGAGTCCAACAGCTCTTCAGCTCAACCACAAGAAGAGTCACTTTCAGCCGCATCCATTGAGGAAGTTCCCATATATCCACAAGGACCCACAGCACCACTCTTCACTCCACAAGTGGCTGCTAGAGCTCTAGACACAAACCCACCACCGGAATCAGGACACGAAAATACACCGGCAACACAAGCACTCTTCACTCCAGAAGAACAAAGCGGCACATCAACCAAACCAGAGCCAAGCCAAGAAGTCCTTAAGACTACATTCGTTCAAGAAGTGTCGCAAGGACTTGCCGTATATCCGCCAGCACAAATCGTGCCCAGCAGTGTGTCCACTGATTTTGATCAAGGATTAGTACGAGCATCTTCAGCAGCAACTAAGGCTGAGGCGCAGCAGGGTGAGGGCCTTAACCCACAAGGACTAGTAGATGCAGTAGACGTAGACACAACGAATGAGAAACTCGCTTCAGCAGTAGCAGCAAGCGCTCCACAGCCAATCCTTACCGTCACCAGTCTTTTTGCGCCACAGATAATAGGTGAAACAGCACAAGAAGATAAAGATTCAGCAGCGCTCCGAACAACGGATCCAGGCAATTTGTTTAGTCCGCCAGCACAGGCGGAGCAACTCAGCGCCGCACTTAACACTCAGACAACCACAACGTTCTTTAATCCTTTCGCACAGTCAGTCACAACGCCTCTGCCACAGGAGCTATTGCCGCCGCCAATAGGATTTGTGGCACCGGACACTCAACCGAACGCCAACGGTCTCTTCGAGGCACAGACCATTGAGCCTGTGCTGCCAGAGACAGAAACTGTCACAGCTCTAGCACCGCCGCCACGCCCACCAAGCAGTAAGCAGCCGGACGCCTCCTCACAGGCAAATCCATTCCGCAAAACCATCGAATCAGCCGCAACCGCAACTTCATCAGTTGCTCCTTCGCCCTTGCTCAGCTTCTTTACGCCTGCCGCGAACAGCGCTGATTGCAACTTTTTCGGATCACCGCAAGAGGCAACCCAGCAGGTGGCCGCTCAGTTTCCAGAGTTGCCGCCGGCGAGTGGCGTTGCACCGCCAGCATTGATAGAGGAGCCGCCTCTAGGGGACGCGGCCACGAGCCAAACCACTCAGGCACTTGGCTTTGAGCAACTAATCAGCGATTCGCAGCAAGCCACACAGCATACCCAAAATTCAATCGGCAATAACTATCAAAATTCTAGTTTAAACTCATTTTCTGGCTATTTTGGTGGCACAGGAGAGGCAGCAGTGCCAGCCGCACAGCCACAGCCGCTGACTGGCTGTAACTCGGCCAATTTCTTTGATCATTTTGCCGCTGGCGGGCAGGGACAACAGGAGGATCAACGCATACAGAACTTCTTTAACAATCCACCGCTGCAGGATCAGCCAGCCGCACCAGGTGAACTCAAATACGATCTTGTTCACAGCGGCTTGCCCACCAAACAGTTCGAGCAACGCTCGCAAACATCTGTCTCAAATCAAGTCGAGCCGCCATCGTCCGCCTGTTCGGAGTTCTCGACAGCAGCGCCGGCAAACCCAAATCCAATAAGCGTTCATCAACCCGAGCGTCAGGCGGAATATCTACGTCAGTTACCACAGGGCGAACTACCTGAAGAAATCCTGCAACAGCTGACCATGGCAAACGATAAGAGTGTGGCTATAGTGCCACCAGTCGATACAATCGTAAGTCAACTATTTTCTTTTTGCCATCACTGTGTCATGAAATGAAACTCCTAGCAATCATATGTATTAATTATAATGTGCTTCTGTTTGTATCTGTGCAAAAGTATTCCAAACTTATCTTCATAGAACCTATTCGTTCGTATTTCACGATATTCTCTCCAAATCATCTTATCAGCAACAGACTAGTCTTATCATATAGCTATTTGCAATTACCTGATAATTATTTCCGACTTGTCTTACCAGGTTTATACGCCCGTTCTGCCTCATTGGTTTTACAAACGCATCGTGGATGGCAAGTTTGTGTGGACTCCATTTAGTCACTACGACTCGGCCCTACTGGAGACTAGCCTGAACAGCGGTAAGTTCTAAAAAAATGTGCTAATTAAATAGTGTAAATTTAAAAAATTAAAAACATGTAAAAGAGTTTCTGCCGGAATTTTCCCATGACCAGAGCAGAAAACTGTAAAAAAGTCAAATCTTATAAACTCGGTTGAAATTTTACCGAGCTATGGGGGTGGTAAATTTTGACCCATGTCTATATACGAATCTTGGGGTAAGATTTGGACATGAATTTCGACTAAAAAATCGGTGTTCAGATTTTAATGCCCGATTATTCTAGAGGAAAAACCATTAAGAAAAATACAAGTCTCGTGAAAATCGGATGAAATTTGACCGAGTTATGGGGGTGGTAAATTTTGACCCATGTCTATATACGAATCTTGGGGTAAGATTTGGACATGAATTTCGACTAAAAAATCGGTGTTCAGATTTTAATGCCCGATTATTCTAGAGGTAAAACCATTTAGAAAAATACAAGTCTCGTGAAAATCGGATGAAATTTGACCGAGTTATGGGGGTGGTAAATTTTGACCCATGTCTATATACGAATCTTGGGGTAAGATTTGGACATGAATTTCGACTAAAAAATCGGTGTTCAGATTTTAATGCCCGATTATTCTAGAGGTAAAACCATTTAGAAAAATACAAGTCTCGTGAAAATCGTATGAAATTTGACCGAGTTATGGGGGTGGTAAATTTTGACCCATGTCTATATACGAATCTTGGGGTAAGATTTGGACATGAATTTCGACTAAAAAATCGGTGTTCAGATTTTAATGCCCGATTATTCTAGAGGAAAAACCATTAAGAAAAATACAAGTCTCGTGAAAATCTGATGAAATTTGACCGAGTTATGGGGGTGGTAAATTTTGACCCATGTCTATATACGAATCTTGGGGTAAGATTTGGACATGAATTTCGACTACAAAATCGGTGTTCAGATTTTAATGCCCGATTATTCTAGAGGTAAAACCATTGAGAAAAATACAAGTCTCGTGAAAATCGGATGAAATTTGACCGAGTTATGGGGGTGGTATATTTTGACCCATGTCAATATACGAATCTTGGGGTAAGATTTGGACATGAATTTCGACTAAAATATCGGTGTTCAGATAATAATGACCGATTATTTTAGAGGTAAAACCATTGAGAAAAATACAAGTCTCGTGAAAATCGGATGAAATTTGACCGAGTTATGGGGGTGGTAAATTTTGAACCATGTCTATATACGAATTTTGGGGTAAGATTTGGACATGAATTTTGACTAAAAAATCGGTGTTCAGATATTAATGCCCGATTATTCTAGAGGTAAAACCATTAAGAAAAATACAAGTCTCGTGAAAATCGGATGAAATTTGACCGAGTTATGGGGGTGGTAGATTTTGACCCATGTCTATATACGAATCTTGGGGTAAGATTTGGACATGAATTTCGACTAAAATATCGGTGTTCAGATTTTAATGCCCGATTATTTTAGAGGTAAAACCATTGAGAAAAATACAAGTCTCGTGAAAATCGGATGAAATTTGACCGAGTTATGGGGGTGGTAAATTTTGAACCATGTCTATATACAAATCTTGGGGTAAGATTTGGACATGAATTTCGACTAAAAAATCGGTGTTCAGATTTAAATGCCCGATTATTCTAGAGGTAAAACGATTGAAAAAAATACAAGTCTCGTGAAAATCGGATAAAATTTGACCGAGTTATGGGGGTGGTAAATTTTGACCCATGTCTATATACGAATCTTGGGGTAAGATTTGGACATGAATTTCGACTAAAAAATCGGTGTTCAGATTTTAATGCCCGATTATTCTAGAGGTAAAACCATTAAAAAAAATACAAGTCTCGTGAAAATCGGATGAAATTTGACCGAGTTATGGGGGTGGTAAATTTTGACCCATGTCTATATACGAATCTTGGGGTAAGATTTGGACATGAATTTCGACTAAAAAATCGGTGTTCAGATTTTAATGCCCGATTATTCTAGAGGTAAAACCATTAAGAAAAAAACAAGTCTCGTGAAAATCGGATGAAATTTGACCGAGTTATGGGGGTGGTAAATTTTGACTATATACGAATCTTGGGGTAAGATTTGGACATGAATTTCGACTAGAAAATCGGTGTTCAGATAATAATGCCCGATTATTCTAGAGGTAAAACCATTGAAAAAAATACAAGTCTCGTGAAAATCGGATAAAATTTGACCGAGTTATGGGGGTGGTAAATTTTGACCCATGTCTATATACGAATCTTGGGGTAAGATCTGGACATGAATTTTGACTAGAAAATCGGTGTTCAGATAATAATGCCCGATTATTCTAGAGGTAAAACCATTAAGAATAATACAAGTCTCGTGAAAATCGGATGAAATTTGACCGAGTTATGGGGGTGGTAAATTTTGACGCATGTCTATATACGAATCTTGGGGTAAGATTTGGACATGAATTTCGACTAGAAAATCGGTGTTCAGATAATAATGCCCGATTATTCTAGAGGTAAAACCATTAAGAAAAATACAAGTCTCGTGAAAATCGGATGAAATTTGACCGAGTTATGGGGGTGGTAAATTTTGACCCATGTCTATATACGAATCTTGGGGTAAGATTTGGACATGAATTTCGACTAAAAAATCGGTGTTCAGATTTTAATGCCCGATTATTCTAGAGGTAAAACCATTTAGAAAAATACAAGTCTCGTGAAAATCGGATGCAATTTGACCGAGTTATGGGGGTGGTAAATTTTGACCCATGTCTATATACGAATCTTGGGGTGAATGAATTTCGACTAAAAAATCGGTGTTCAGATTTTAATGCCCGATTATTCTAGAGGTAAAACCATTGAAAAAAATACAAGTCTCGTGAAAATCGGATAAAATTTGACCGAGTTATGGGGGTGGTAAATTTTGACCCATGTCTATATACGAATCTTGGGGTAAGATCTGGACATGAATTTTGACTAGAAAATCGGTGTTCAGATAATAATGCCCGATTATTCTAGAGGTAAAACCATTAAGAATAATACAAGTCTCGTGAAAATCGGATGAAATTTGACCGAGTTATGGGGGTGGTAAATTTTGACGCATGTCTATATACGAATCTTGGGGTAAGATCTGGACATGAATTTTGACTAGAAAATCGGTGTTCAGATAATAATGCCCGATTATTCTAGAGGTAAAACCATTAAGAATAATACAAGTCTCGTGAAAATCGGATGAAATTTGACCGAGTTATGGGGGTGGTAAATTTTGACGCATGTCTATATACGAATCTTGGGGTAAGATTTGGACATGAATTTCGACTAGAAAATCGGTGTTCAGATAATAATGCCCGATTATTCTAGAGGTAAAACCATTAAGAAAAATACAAGTCTCGTGAAAATCGGATGAAATTTGACCGAGTTATGGGGGTGGTAAATTTTGACGCATGTCTATATACGAATCTTGGGGTAAGATTTGGACATGAATTTCGACTAGAAAATCGGTGTTCAGATAATAATGCCCGATTATTCTAGAGGTAAAACCATTAAGAAAAATACAAGTCTCGTGAAAATCGGATGAAATTTGACCGAGTTATGGGGGTGGTAGATTTTGACCCATGTCTATATACGAATCTTGGGGTAAGATTTGGACATGAATTTCGACTAAAATATCGGTGTTCAGATTTTAATGCCCGATTATTTTAGAGGTAAAACCATTGAGAAAAATACAAGTCTCGTGAAAATCGGATGAAATTTGACCGAGTTATGGGGGTGGTAAATTTTGAACCATGTCTATATACAAATCTTGGGGTAAGATTTGGACATGAATTTCGACTAAAAAATCGGTGTTCAGATTTAAATGCCCGATTATTCTAGAGGTAAAACGATTGAAAAAAATACAAGTCTCGTGAAAATCGGATAAAATTTGACCGAGTTATGGGGGTGGTAAATTTTGACCCATGTCTATATACGAATCTTGGGGTAAGATTTGGACATGAATTTCGACTAGAAAATCGGTGTTCAGATAATAATGCCCGATTATTCTAGAGGTAAAACCATTAAGAAAAATACAAGTCTCGTGAAAATCGGATAAAATTTGACCGAGTTATGGGGGTGGTAAATTTTGACCCATGTCTATATACGAATCTTGGGGTAAGATTTGGACATGAATTTCGACTAAAAAATCGGTGTTCAGATTTTAATGCCCGATTATTCTAGAGGTAAAACCATTAAAAAAAATACAAGTCTCGTGAAAATCGGATGAAATTTGACCGAGTTATGGGGGTGGTAAATTTTGACCCATGTCTATATACGAATCTTGGGGTAAGATTTGGACATGAATTTCGACTAAAAAATCGGTGTTCAGATTTTAATGCCCGATTATTCTAGAGGTAAAACCATTAAGAAAAAAACAAGTCTCGTGAAAATCGGATGAAATTTGACCGAGTTATGGGGGTGGTAAATTTTGACTATATACGAATCTTGGGGTAAGATTTGGACATGAATTTCGACTAGAAAATCGGTGTTCAGATAATAATGCCCGATTATTCTAGAGGTAAAACCATTGAAAAAAATACAAGTCTCGTGAAAATCGGATAAAATTTGACCGAGTTATGGGGGTGGTAAATTTTGACCCATGTCTATATACGAATCTTGGGGTAAGATCTGGACATGAATTTTGACTAGAAAATCGGTGTTCAGATAATAATGCCCGATTATTCTAGAGGTAAAACCATTAAGAATAATACAAGTCTCGTGAAAATCGGATGAAATTTGACCGAGTTATGGGGGTGGTAAATTTTGACGCATGTCTATATACGAATCTTGGGGTAAGATTTGGACATGAATTTCGACTAGAAAATCGGTGTTCAGATAATAATGCCCGATTATTCTAGAGGTAAAACCATTAAGAAAAATACAAGTCTCGTGAAAATCGGATGAAATTTGACCGAGTTATGGGGGTGGTAAATTTTGACCCATGTCTATATACGAATCTTGGGGTAAGATTTGGACATGAATTTCGACTAAAAAATCGGTGTTCAGATTTTAATGCCCGATTATTCTAGAGGTAAAACCATTTAGAAAAATACAAGTCTCGTGAAAATCGGATGAAATTTGACCGAGTTATGGGGGTGGTAAATTTTGACCCATGTCTATATACGAATCTTGGGGTGAATGAATTTCGACTAAAAAATCGGTGTTCAGATTTTAATGCCCGATTATTCTAGAGGAAAAACCATTAAGAAAAATACAAGTCTCGTGAAAATCGGATGAAATTTGACCGAGTTATGGGGGTGGTAAATTTTGACCCATGTCTATATACGAATCTTGGGGTAAGATTTGGACATGAATTTCGACTACAAAATCGGTGTTCAGATTTTAATGCCCGATTATTCTAGAGGTAAAACCATTGAGAAAAATACAAGTCTCGTGAAAATCGGATGAAATTTGACCGAGTTATGGGGGTGGTATATTTTGACCCATGTCAATATACGAATCTTGGGGTAAGATTTGGACATGAATTTCGACTAAAAAATCGGTGTTCAGATTTTAATGCCCGATTATTCTAGAGGTAAAACCATTAAGAAAAAAACAAGTCTCGTGAAAATCGGATGAAATTTGACCGAGTTATGGGGGTGGTAAATTTTGACCCATGTCTATATACGAATTTTAGGGTAAGATTTGGACATGAATTTTGACTAAAAAATCGGTGTTCAGATATTAATGCCCGATTATTCTAGAGGTAAAACCATTAAGAAAAATACAAGTCTCGTGAAAATCGGATAAAATTTGACCGAGTTATGGGGGTGGTAAATTTTGACCCATGTCTATATACGAATCTTGGGGTAAGATCTGGACATGAATTTCGACTAGAAAATCGGTGTTCAGATAATAATGCCCGATTATTCTAGAGGTAAAACCATTAAGAAAAATACAAGTCTCGTGAAAATCGGATAAAATTTGACCGAGTTATGGGGGTGGTAAATTTTGACCCATGTCTATATACGAATCTTGGGGTAAGATTTGGACATGAATTTCGACTAAAAAATCGGTGTTCAGATTTTAATGCCCGATTATTCTAGAGGTAAAACCATTGAAAAAAATACAAGTCTCGTGAAAATCGGATGAAATTTGACCGAGTTATGGGGGTGGTAAATTTTGACCCATGTCTATATACGAATCTTGGGGTAAGATTCGGACATGAATTTCGACTAAAAAATCGGTGTTCAGATTTTAATGCCCGATTATTCTAGAGGTAAAACCATTAAGAAAAAAACAAGTCTCGTGAAAATCGGATGAAATTTGACCGAGTTATGGGGGTGGTAGATTTTGACCCATGTCTATATACGAATCTTGGGGTAAGATCTGGACATGAATTTTGACTAAAAAATCGGTGTTCAGATATTAATGCCCGATTATTCTAGAGGTAAAACCATTAAGAAAAATACAAGTCTCGTGAAAATCGGATGAAATTTAACCGAGTTATGGGGTGGTAAATTTTGACCCATGTCTATATACGAATCTTGGGGTAAGATTTGGACATGAATTTCGACTAAAAAATCGGTGTTCAGATTTTAATGCCCGATTATTCTAGAGGTAAAACCATTAAGAAAAAAACAAGTCTCGTGAAAATCGGATGAAATTTGACCGAGTTATGGGGGTGGTAGATTTTGACCCATGTCTATATACGAATCTTGGGGTAAGATTTGGACATGAATTTCGACTAAAATATCGGTGTTCAGATTTTAATGCCCGATTATTTTAGAGGTAAAACCATTGAGAAAAATACAAGTCTCGTGAAAATCGGATGAAATTTAACCGAGTTATGGGGTGGTAAATTTTGACCCATGTCTATATACGAATCTTGGGGTAAGATTTGGACATGAATTTCGACTAAAAAATCGGTGTTCAGATTTTAATGCCCGATTATTCTAGAGGTAAAACCATTAAGAAAAAAACAAGTCTCGTGAAAATCGGATGAAATTTGACCGAGTTATGGGGGTGGTAGATTTTGACCCATGTCTATATACGAATCTTGGGGTAAGATCTGGACATGAATTTTGACTAAAAAATCGGTGTTCAGATATTAATGCCCGATTATTCTAGAGGTAAAACCATTAAGAAAAATACAAGTCTCGTGAAAATCGGATGAAATTTAACCGAGTTATGGGGTGGTAAATTTTGACCCATGTCTATATACGAATCTTGGGGTAAGATTTGGACATGAATTTCGACTAAAAAATCGGTGTTCAGATTTTAATGCCCGATTATTCTAGAGGTAAAACCATTAAGAAAAAAACAAGTCTCGTGAAAATCGGATGAAATTTGACCGAGTTATGGGGGTGGTAGATTTTGACCCATGTCTATATACGAATCTTGGGGTAAGATTTGGACATGAATTTCGACTAAAATATCGGTGTTCAGATTTTAATGCCCGATTATTTTAGAGGTAAAACCATTGAGAAAAATACAAGTCTCGTGAAAATCGGATGAAATTTAACCGAGTTATGGGGTGGTAAATTTTGACCCATGTCTATATACGAATCTTGGGGTAAGATTTGGACATGAATTTCGACTAAAAAATCGGTGTTCAGAGTTTAATGCCCGATTATTCTAGAGGTAAAACCATTGAGAAAAATACAAGTCTCGTGAAAATCGGATGAAATTTGACCGAGTTATGGGGGTGGTAAATTTTGACCCATGTCTATATACGAATCTTCGGGTAAGATTTGGACATGAATTTCGACTAAAAAATCGGTGTTCAGATTTTAATGCCCGATTGTTTTAGAGGTAAAACCATTAAGAAAAAAACAAGTCTCGTGAAAATCGGATGAAATTTGACCGAGTTATGGGGGTGGTAGATTTTGACCCATGTCTATATACGAATCTTGGGGTAAGATCTGGACATGAATTTTGACTAGAAAATCGGTGTTCAGATAATAATGCCCGATTATTCTAGAGGTAAAACCATTAAGAAAAAAACAAGTCTCGTGAAAATCGGATCAAATTTGACCGAGTTATGGGGGTGGTAAATTTTGGCCTATGTCTATCTCTATATATAAAACTGTTTGTCCTGAATAACTGACTGACCGACTGGTGGAAAAATCTGGTAATCGAATTCTATATATGCATTTCTGCCACCCGCAGATGACGCCGATTCGTTGAGCATCGTACCCGTAGAGGGTGGTCGCTATGATGTTAACATTAAAGAGCGCACCAAGACGCCCGTTTTCTGGGAGGGCAAAGCCATTGAGGTGCGACGCTGTTCCTGGTTCTACAAGGCCGGGGATGGAAAGTACGTTCCATATGCGGAGCAAACAGCAGCCGCACTGGAGGAAGAATATAAACGTGCTACGGAAACAAACGAGTGGCATAAAAAAATACCCCTGGCCAATGGGGAGCAGGTCACCATGCATGGCCCGAGCGTCATTGTGCACTTCATGCCACCATCGAACGCCGACACGTGGGGCGGCAGCGTGCAAAGCTCAACACGGCCGCTGGTTGTCAAGCGAGATTTAAATGATTTTAAAATACAACAGGGCGAATCTCAGCGTGTGGATCATTTGTTGTTCATGGTGCATGGCATCGGCTCTGCTTGTGATCTAAAAATGCGCAATGTCGAAGAAGTCGGTAAGTGTGCATCTAACAACAGTCCAAACATATTGAAAACTGAATTGATTTACAAAATTCCTTGCAGTGGATGATTTTCGCAACATTGCGCAACAGCTGGTGCAGTCCCACTACAAAAACTCCACGGACATGGGCCTAGTGGGTCGCGTTGAAGTGCTCCCGATTGAATGGCATGGCCATTTGCACTCCGAGGAGCTGGGCATCGATGAGAAACTGAAGTCCATCACTCTGGAATCCATACCACGATTACGCAATTTCACTAACGACACACTGCTGGATGTGCTCTTCTATACCAGTCCCAAGTACTGTCAGAAGATCATGAACACGGTGGCTGATGCATTAAATGAGGTTTATCTGAAATATCGCATGCGGCATCCTGAATTCAATGGCGGTGTTTCGTTGGCTGGCCATAGTCTCGGCTCGCTTATACTCTTTGATCTGCTGTGTCACCAGGAGCCGCTGAAGGAGAGCGAAGAAGAAAATAAGGTAAGGCGTGCGCAAAAAAAATCCAAAGACCCCGACCAAACGAAAAGAATTCTAATCATTGTGAAAAAGCAGCTCTTGCCTGGCCTATTCTTAGCTACCAATAAGCCACAAATAAAGTAATATTTAAGCTTAATTTTTGGCAGGAGAATCCGGATCAACTGCCACAAAAGCAGGGCACCGAATTGAAGCACGTACAAATTCCCAACAATGATCAAATGCTGCCCAAGCAGGTCAGCTATGCCATGGGTATGGGAATGGCCGGAACTGGACAGCCAGTGATTAACTACACGCAGTTAATTTTCCATCCGAAGAAGTTTTTCGCTTTGGGCTCTCCAATCGGCATGTTTGTGACCATACGCGGCATCGATAAACTTGGCCTCGACTTTCGGCTACCCACCTGTCCAGGGTTTTACAATATATTCCATCCCTTTGATCCAGTGGCGTATCGCATTGAAGCTCTGGTCAATCCAGACATGAAGGGCATCCGCCCGGTACTGATTCCACACCATAAAGGACGCAAGCGCATGCATCTGGAACTAAAAGAGACTATGACGCGCGTTGGTGCGGACATAAAGCAAAGATTCATGGACACTTTCAAAACCACATTAGACAGCGTCAATTTCTTGGCCACAGTCACCAAGGTCAAAAAGGAGGCCGAAGAGTCTCTGGAAAAGGAAATACACTCAGTAAGATAAAAGCAAAAAGGCGTCGGTGACAAACCGGACTAACCAATTTTATAGAGCTCTTCGCAGGTATTCCAAGAGCCAAGTGAAGGCCAGGATGAATTGTCAACGACAACCACTTCGACGAAAGGGCGTAATCGCACCGACTCCGAGTCCACGACAGCATCAGATCCTGAATTCGTTGAGCTCGACTTTCCACTAGGTAAATTGAACGACTCAAAACGCGTGGACTATGTGCTGCAGGAGGCGCCGCTGGAGTTCATCAACGAGTATATCTTCGCACTGAGCAGCCACGTTTGCTATTGGTGAGTGGTTTGTTTCATTTTGTTCAGGCTTATTTCTAATTGTGTACTTCATATAACAGGGGTTCGGAGGATACCATACTATTTGTGATGAAGGAGATTTATGCTGGTTTGGGCATTAGCACCGATAGCCAAGTGCCACAGCAGTCCATGACCATTGAGAGGCCCAGCTCACGAAATAGCAGTGCCAGTCAGTCGCTGTTGCCGATGTGAGTTGACATTTGGATACAATCTCTTAGACCCATTTCGTTTTTGCATTCTATACTTATAAATGCTTAGAGACAATTTATTTAACTATGTTATTTGTTAGCAAAATCATACAAAGAATTTTTAAAATGTGCAACGCTAACCTGGTTAATGGTTTTATGAAATTTAGAAGTCTTGCATTGTCAGAATAACGTACGAAAACAATTTGCAATTGAACGATGTTCCAGGGAGAACATTTCATGACTTTATATATAAACATACTGCATATCCACTCTGTGCTGTTGTTCTTTTTGTAATATAACTTTGTAATTTGTATGCTAATTAAATGTGTATTTCTATTAATATCAAATAATAAAATTATGCAGCACAAGCGAATTTTTAGTTTAAATTATTAAAAAAAACTTTTATCGATAATTTGCGCGTAAAATGTTTATCGTGGGTGGGTATGAAAAACAATCGAATACATGTTTTTTAGTGTTGGAAAAGACAATTAGAATTGTTTTACTTATCGTCATCGGTCGACCACCACAAATTATTGCTCGACTACCACCAATCCACTCATTACTTTCTATTTGTTGTAAATATTTATTTTAAAAAATGCAATAATCTAGCGTTAAACCAATCCAAAATAGTCCATAATGAGGCATTAAAGTGTAAGCAAGGCTCTGTGCATGTTGGTTAACGCGAATAAAGTCACATTTGTGTATTTTCTGCATGTAAAGTGCGCGCACAAGGACAGTCCCGAGCTGTCGTCGACATCGTCATTTCGCTTTAATTTCCCAGTGCCAAAAAAAAAAAAGTCGCAAAGAGCTGCTGCTGCTGCCTCAAGTGGTGTTGCGCGCGAAATAAAAGGCAATACCTGGTTCAAGAACCATTTAGCAATAAAATCTGCAAAACGATGACGAAGGCGACTATGAAAATACAGCAGGTGAGCAGCAAAATAAGTGAGCAATTGGCCAACAACAATTTGCTGCGCTTCAGTGACTATCAAACGCCACTTGCTCGCTCGCCTGCCCAAATATGAATGTTTGTACATGCAATAGTGAGAGTGTATGTCGGTTCTCGTTGTTATTGTTGCTGCTGTTGTTGTAGATGCAATGGTCAAAGCTTATCTGTTTGACGCTTTTGTATGTTTCAGCTATAAAATCCATTTTATTTATGTATGGGAACGGAAATACTCACACAAAGCTCGGACAAAGCACAAACTGCAAGATTAAAGAAATACATGCCAAACTAATACATCTAACGCAACTTCGCCGCCAAAGCTCACAGCCGAACAGAACGAACACAAAATGAGTTGGTTACGTACAAGTCCATTGCGTCAGAGTCTTACCCGCAACAGTGGCAGCTCTGGCAGCGGCAACTCTAGCGCTACAACAACTCTGCGTCAACGGCCCATAGACGCAGCTACAGACTGTGATCCGCGCGCTTGCTATGATAGCTTCTGCAAGCACTGGCAGCAGGCCCATGAAATAATTCAGCATCCGGGTCCGCCCACTCATGATGATGTGCTGGGCGTGGTGTCGCATTTGGATTACATGGTAACGCTACTGTTAGTCGAGCTGCACCATTGCAATAAGGTGTCGCTGCCCACTGCTGACTCAGCGCCACCGGCAGCGCCCTGCTTGGAGTATCTGCTCAGCGAGAATCTGCTGGACAAGCTGTATGAGTGGGCCAGCACAACCGGTCGCTATGCGAACGCCGTGCGTCTGGAGCAGCTGAAGCTATACGAGCTGCTCGTGAGCCACTCGCGGCATCAGCTGCTGTGTCACGAGCCGTTTCTGCGGCCGCTGCTCAAGATTCTCGCCTCTAGCCAAGGTGAGATCTTTCCGCCCGATCTGGAGAAACGATTGGTGATCCTGCTCAATCAGCTGTGCGTGGTGCTCATGCAGAATGTCCATCTGCTCGATCTATTCTTCTTCTCGGCACAAACTCAGGTGCAGGAGCAAATACAAAACGGAAGCTTAGCTGCGCCCAAAAGTGGCACCACAACCAAGTGAGCTTTAGTAAATGTCGCATCATTGCATTACACGATTATTCACATTTATTTTATTTGATTTGCTTAGTTTCATCATCTTCTCGCTGCTTATACCGTACGTGCATCGGGAGGGCAGTCTGGGACATCAGGCGCGCGATGCGCTGCTGCTGTGCATGGCGCTCTCGCAGAAGAATTCCAACATCGGCCACTATATTGCACAATACTCGTCCATTTGTCCACTGCTGGTCACCGGCCTGGGTGGGCTCTACTCCCGCCTGCCGAATAGCATCGAGATCAGTTCCATTGACTGGCATCGCATCACGCCCGACGATGTCACCGAAATACCGGAACTAACGCTGTTCATGAATGCGCTCGAATTCTGCAATGCGGTCGTCCAAGTGGCGCACGAGATGATTAAACAGCAGCTGCTGGACTTTATGTACCAAGGATTTATTGTGCCGGTGCTGGGACCGGCCATACTCCAGGTGAGTCTCGCTTTGAGTTGTGCTCTCACGTAAAAACTTGTCTTCGATGCATTTCTGTGGTGTTGGTTACAAAATTGTCACTTGTCCCTGGTGCTCTTGTGTCTGTGTGTTTGCTTTTACTTATAAATTCTATTACTACGTTTATACGCAAGTCGTTAATGCAAAATGTCTGCATATTATAAACTTGACGCATTGACAAGACTATTAGAGCTGTTGTGGACTATTTTCTTAATGATTGTGCCACAATTTAATTTTTAGCCAATTATAATCAAATGGGTTAATCGATTATACAGTTTGATCTAATAATTTTCTTTTGATTTAAGATTTTAATACACTTCGCGATTGCTTTGCGGCATAAACGTAGTATATAGTATGTGTGATATCCTTATTTCTTTTTGGGCCCACCCAAAGCTAACCAAAACACCTCGCCTCGAAATCTCGAAACAACTTTTTGCGCTCCAAATTGCAGACACTGAAGGGCAAACATTTTCAGACGAATATCGACTCACAAATTTCGGCGATGTCCTATCTGGATCTGATATTGCGCTCCATTACTGAGCCTGGTCTTATGCGTGCCTTTGTCAAGTTTTTGCTGGATACGGAGAAGTTTGACGGTGAACGGATTTTAGATGCTCTCGTAGAGCGTCTTCATTCGCCGGATGCCAACCTGTGCATGGTGACCATGGCTCTGTTTGATACGCTGCTGGGCTTACACTGCGAGGATCTGATGTTGGAGCTCTTGCTGAAGTATTTGTTGCCTGGGAAGCATGTGCCCATATCGCATCGCCACAAGATCAACAAGATCGATCCATATTTGAACACAACAGAGTTCTTTTTGGATCTCACACCAGACGTGATGAAGCGCGCCCGTGACCTGGCACGGCCCAAGAGCGTACAGGACCAAGTGGATCCTGCAGCGGCAACGGCCCCATTAGCCGTCATGCTGCCCAGTCTGCCCTCACCGGTCATGAGCAAGACAATTGGCGCCAACTGGAACTACTACGGTCACTACACGGGAGACAGTCTGTATGCCAATGTTCAGGCCTATCTATTTGAGGCTCATTCACGCATCGCCCAGTGCCAGCGCGACTGTGCCAAGTGGGCGAATAGCTATCGCTATCAAAAATGGCCCCGACAGGGCCAGGCACGTGCTAATGCACATGCCCTTGAGCTGGCCAAGCAGTTTTTCAGTGAATTTGCCTCAGCAGCTCCGATGGCAGCAGCAGGGACCAGCGATTTGGGCGAGAAACAGCTAGATAGCTTGCAATCAATAGGCGAATCCAGCGGCTATGAATCGTTCAAATGGCGACCTGCTGATGAGGATGCTGAGGGCATAGACGTGACCACAACAACAGCTACAAGTGACACGGATCTGGAGCATAACAACAGCAGCAGCATCGGCAGTGGACGACGCGATTCCTGGCGCATCTCGCACAGTACTCGCAACGAGCTGTTACTCACCGATTTGGATTTTTCGGAGGATTTGTTTGCGCAGGGGACCGTAAGCTTAGGTGAGTCTTAGGCGGACACTTTCATGGAATGTACCAAGATTGGCATGTTTATATCGATTCTTTCAGGTCCTTTTCTGAATGCCATTTGGAGCAAACTGCAAACCTTTACGAGCAACTCGTTGTATGTCAATCTGCATTTAACCGGGCTGATCACGCGACTCGCCTGGTATCCACTGCCGCTCATCCATTCGCTGTTGCTGCGCTCTGACATTGCCATCACCTCGGACACGCCATCGTTCCATCAGGTGCTGCGCATGCTCAAGCAGCAAATTGATGCAGAGCTGCCGGTAGCTGAGAACTCACTGGAGATCATCGATGTGGCGCGCTCGTATCTGATTGATCGCGAGTTCCGTTTGGTCAATGCGCGCAAGATTACCGATAACGCACCAATGCATCAGCAGCATCAGCAACAGCAGCTGCAACACACAACAAATCCCACACAGCAACAACAGGCGCAGCAGCGTTCCACCTATGCGACGCTATCGGCGGCAACACCTGTGCAGGCTTCGCCCACCAGCGCCTACGATCCCTTTCGACGCAGCGATAACAAGCGTCGCAGCATCAGCAAGTCAATATCCAGCATGTTTAGCCGAAGATCCACATCATCCACTGCAGCAACGAATACGAATACGGGTATGTGATGCCAAGGCATCCTTCAGATTAAACAAAAAAAAAATTGCACATTTATTTACTCTTTTAAACGAACCAAACATATTCACAAGAAAACAAAACGCAGCAGCGGATGTTGGACTAAAGCCGGTTTTGGGATCTTAACCATCAAATTCACACACACTCACATATTCATCCACATTTTAGAATTTTTTTTTTTAAATAGACTGTTTCCAATGGCCAGAAGTTTGGTAAATTAATGTCATGTTTCACGAAATTTTGACGCTCGCCAAAAACATTTATTCTTGATTTTGAGTATCGATAGCCAAGTCAATAAACGGAATGGCTATCCGTGCTCCTGCCGGTTTCTATGAATCGTGCTCCGGTGACTGTTTTCTGCTGCAAAAGTAAGATTCCTGCTTACAATATTGCGACACATAAGTATTATATATATATATATATAGAGATAGGTGTGCAATGCTTAGGTTATACCCAAATATGAAAATCCAAATGTTGTATTTCTATTCTATAAATGATACAAATGACAAAAATGCTGGCCAGTGGAATTCAGTCTTATGTACACGACACAACACACGTAGATTTTGTACAATGTCTGCAGAC